GAGATTTAGGGCTCATTCTAAAAAAATTCAAGTGATTGGGTAAAACTCCCTAAAACGAGCTGAGGATGCATTTTGTAATTTCAAGCTTTCTAGAAATTATTTTCACATCTTTAGCGAAAGTCATTATTGCTTCTCTGATAGATAATTCTGAAGTTTTTGAGCCTGTCCCGCTCATGGCCCACTTACACCATTCCCACTTTTTTAGAAGCACAACCTCGGGAATTTCTGACTATAAGCGCGTTTGCCTTCTGTTTTGCTGAAGTCTTGCAAGCCATGGTCTTTTTGCTTAGTTCCTAGTCACCATCGAAAAATGAAAAGCCTGCTGCCTTCAAGGACAGTTTTTTTGCACTTGGCTTTGTGGTAGGTATAAAGCTAAATAATTTGTTCGCTACGTGTATGTACATTTGTCACGGTAATCCATCATGCAACTTCAGTCGTGAAAAGCAAATGAAAGAACTTCTCAATTTGCCATAGGATAAGGTATTAACTTGTACGGATTGGTTTTTTCGAGAACATTATTGAAATTTCAAGCAATTAACCCCCTGCAATCCATTCGGTGCGGAAAGGCATAAACGTGCTATAGCCCTATATCAACCATTGCATGAGTCCATCAAAACCGCATGCATTTGTTTCAGAATTCCCCAAAGGACGTTTTCTAAGCTGGCGTATCCCTGAGAAGTTCAATTCTAGATCGCAAGCACTTATTATTCCCACTGATATGCGCTTCGTCTGGCCAAATCTGCTTTCAAAGTACAAAATCGCCTTCTTCGCAAAAACCAATAGTATAATCCAGAAATAAAATCTCTTACCCAGATACTACTACTATGAAGTCCATAATGTTCCATCCAGATCGTAGATACGATCCTTTGTGAGCAATGAAACCAAAAGCGATGATTTTTAGCACACATTCTAAGCAGAAAATACCCATGAAGTATGGCTCGGTGCGTTCCTAAATCATAAGAGAATGGCATACGATGATGAATGTTGTGTGATTATTTAACTCAAGTACAATTCTGCATTTTACAAAACACTACGTTCATGAGCAATGTGATTCTCATGTTTCTTGTGTTTCCATGTACTTTTCACATATGCGATAAGATCGAATTTCATCGAAGCCCGTAGCTTTATGAGAAAAATGAGCAACGGAAGTCAACCACCGCTCACCAGCAGTTCGGAAAGTGGTTTTTTGTCGTTTTTTGGAAGATGTTGTTCCATTGCCAGAACGACACAGTTTCCTGCAATGACTTGTCAGACATTCAGAAGTGAATACATTTAGAAGTATGGCCTATGCCTTTGTAACCGCTTTTGACAACGCAAAACAAGATATTCACTCTACAGTAGTTTCTGTAAGCGTACCTATAATTGTAAGAAGGATGAAGTACTCGAACGGGCCCCATTCTATTATTGCTTTCGCGTTTCGTCG